CTGAACATCCTCCGAATGTTCCTCATGGCTGTCAATAATGATAAATCTTGAGAAGCCGAGAAGAAGCGATTGAAATGGACGTTGAACCAAGTACGAGGTGAACAGGAACGAAAGCGAGTTTCTAGTAAACTCCAGAACACTTCTTCAACTCGCAAAACAACGTTAAAGTTATTACACTTCGTTATTGGTCTAAGTATCACACCTACAAGAGTACTTGAGTTACTATAAGACAATCTTCCACGACCGAGCAGCATCGCGATAGATCAAACTTTAGTGCTGCTATATGATTTCTAACTGGTAACAAAACATTAAGTTGTTAGAGATTACAAACGAGTATCCTACGTATTGCAGTCTTCAGTTTTCAGGTTTTCAGTGGGGTATAGTAGTGTTTCATTTCAGACAATACTAAGGACTTTAACTGTCTGTTCCCGGCTGGAACGGAGAAGTATGAGCCGGGTGCCACCAAATAAATCAAATTTCGAGTCAGGGAAATGTGTTTGTTCGCTGGAGAGCTCGTCGCTGGGCCGGTCATACAAAAATTAACAATTCAAAATTGTTGACCAATTTTGTGATGACCCGAATATGATCCATTTAGAATACTTCGCTGACGGTCAGGACCAATTTGCATATACAACCTTATCTGAGGTCAATTAGTTCAACATCACTATGCTCATATCACCCGTTACATATTATCTGCCGTCCGATAGGCACTGATATAGCTTATACTACTACACATTTGCCACTCCAAACCGGTCGTAGTGTAAACCAAACTGACTGAAGTAAAAAAGTAACAATAAATAAATAAATATATATATATATTAAAAATATTATTACAAATTTTAGAGTTTTGGGCTAAGTGGATTTAGTGAATCCGAAAGTAGTGGACAGGAGAGCAGCAAGAGGACAGTTCAAAATTTGCTCAACTTGCACTATGCTGAGCGAGCCTAACACACATTGGCCGCGAGGCAGCGCGTCCTCGATGCCTTTAATGTAGGCCGAGACTGGCTATTGGTCGCTGATCATAACGGTATCCCCGTTACGACAGCGCGTCGAATCGTTGAGCGCAGATCCCCAGAGGGAAAGCAGCGAGGAGGAGTAAGGCCTCCACCATCAAGTGCACGCCCGCCATGGAAGAAGCCCTGATCGAGTATGTAGAGAAAGACTGTCTATTGACGTTAGTGCAGCTTCAAGCCGCATGCTCGAGTTCGACTTCAATGTACGACTTAGTACGTCATCGATCAGTGCAAAATTATGCAGCAATTGTACACAATAAAGCAAGTAAGTACTACGGATTGTAATAATACTGTTTTCTAAATATTTGTGAACATATCGGTCCGTGTGGAACCCTCTACGCGCTACAATGCTGTGAACATCGAGAAGCGACGTGTATTCGCTGAAGCACTGCTCAAGCACGAGCGCAAATGTGATCTCATCGTATATTACGATGAAACCAACTTCGACTTGTACTGTAGGCATAGGTAGGGTCGAGCCAAGCACGGATAGCGCGCTATTGTAAAGTTGCCTCCATCTAAAGGCAACAATCTACAGATCCAGTGTGCAGTGTCTACAGAAATAGGTCTGGTACACCACGCTCTGCAGCGTGGTAGCATCCAGAGGGATGTTAATGCAGGATTCGTAGACGAAATCTACAAAGCTGTTAAAGCACACCAAGTATTCCAAACTGAGCTCGTGGGTAAGAACACTGCGATGGTGTTAGATAATGCCCCAGCTCATAGTCAGACGGAGGAGTTGGTAACCGACCACAGTGACCTCGCGCTGTTGCGGCTTGGCCCCGTATTTGCCAATGTGCAATCCTATTGAAGGTAAGTACAGTAGTGTATAATAGTTAGAATTGGTTTTCTAACTCTATGCGTTATATGATCAGGTTGCTTTAGCGTCTTAAAGGCTAAAATTAAGACCTACATCGCTACTCATCACTATGAGATGTTAATGCTTCTCCTCAAAACATTCAAACTATATTAAATTGTGGATACATTTCGTTAAGTGACCAACAATAGACGTGGTTGGCCACGAGTGGCGACCAACATACAGGAAAGCAGGGATAATAGCCGGCGAGGCCACCATTGAGCGTTGATTAGTAGTGAGTGTGCGCTGTCTACCGCTTTCTGATGCGTTCTTCGGCTAGTTTTCAGTTTTGTTCTGTTGTATTTGAGTTTCCTACCTGAATGCCCAAGTATCTGGATGTTTCTCCAGCGTCTTGGTAACGAAAAGCATTTGGTAATTGTGGGAATGACAAAATGTCGTTGGCATCCAGGGCGATTGTACTGGCCGTCGATTCGTTGCTCATTCATCCAGATGCGTGCCCATAACGTTTGGTTGTGTCCAACAAGGCAGGTATGTAAGTAGCATCTAGTAAATATGAGGCTGTGGCATCGACAAATTCACCTACTTTCAACTCTCCGCACCCGTTGTCTGGATTACACGGATGTCCCTTTGTTTTTGCACTTTCTGATAGAATGGTTTCCAAGCCAAAATGAATAGATCCGGAGTGAGTGGACATCCTTGGCGAATCCCGCGCGTTACCATTACATTACGCGACGATTTACCATTAATTATAAATTTAACCGTTGTTCCAGTTTGCAAAACTTCAATTACGCGAACAAAATGTGACGGATATCCGTGTCGCGTGAGTGCCACATACAACAATTCTCGGAATAGAGTCATAGGCCTTAGCAAAATCGAGCAGAACCGCAATTGCATGATTTGATTCTGGAAATGACTTTGCCATTGCTTGTGCAGCCGCAAACAAATCCAGTGTATCATGTATGTGACGTTCGAGAACGAACCCGTTTTGGTGCGGATGTATTCTTTGTTCCAGCGTCGGGGCTACCTTAGTCAATAGGAGACTTGTTAAATTTTATAGTCTGTGTTTAATAATGCGAGAGGTCGATAGTTTAGCGGATTTGCCCCATTTCCTTTCGTTTTCAAGCAAAAAAATGTTTGCATGGAGAAAAGAGTTTGGACAATCACCGGCTTCATACCACATTCGATATAGGTTCGTAAGGATAGGGACCAATGCCGCAGCATAATCGCGATACCAATCATTGCCAAGGTCGTCCGGTGCGCACGCCTCGCCTGTATTGCAGTCGTTGAGGGTTTCAGAGACGGATGTATCTGCAATAAATTCACTATCAGCTAAAACTTCTGTGAATTCGTCTCCCGACTTGATATCAATCCACTCAGCTACGTCGCAAACGTCTGAAAATGCTTCTATTGGACCTTGCAGAATTGGGATCCATGCATCTGCAAATGCTTCCGCTTCTTTCCTGTACAACATGAATCATACCCCCATCCGCTGTCCGGAATGTTGGAACTATATTGTCAGTAAATTTGCACGAAATCCGTTTAAAGAAAATTAGGATAGATTTACCAGGAATTCAAGTATGTTCTCGGTAGAGCCTATGTTGCCAACAACGTACTCGTTCGCGGCTACAGTCAGCAATTGCTCGTTCTACAATTTGCAACTTGGTATACGCTGCGTCTCCTGTACGAGTTTCTGCAGCATCACATGCTCTCAACAATGATCGGGTGCATTGTTTGTTTAGTGTCTTAAGTTTTTGCCTGTAGGTGTTTGTCAAGCGACGGTGCTCCGTGTCTCTGGTTTTCCGAATATCAATCGCTAACCTAGATTTAAATGTATCCCAGATCTGAGCAACCTCGCCCGGGCGTATCTCCTCCGAGGCCAATGTTGACCGCAACTCACCTAGCGCTTATCCGATACAAATTCGTGTGGCTTCCGCTGCAAACAGTGTAGGCAGATATACCTTGCGTGTTTAAATATATAATTATTTTACATGGGTCGTCAGGCGAAAATATATGAAGTACCACACCAGCATGTCTGCCGTTGTGAAACCGGCAGGTTCGCGCGCGGTCGCTTTTGCCCACATTTTCACATCGTCATTTCGATACCAGCGATCCAACCTGCTCGTCGTCAATCCTACTCCTTCCACACTATAGCAGTAGCTATGATGGACGTTGTGACATTATAGTAGTTCTGTGTGATCGTGCTCGGGGGGAAAACGATTAACGAGTGTGTCGGTGAGGTTCCATTGCCGAATTAGCCTATGAAGTGCCAGGGACCCATGCATCCTTTCGGGCGTCTGGTGTGAACGATCCACATTAGCAAGCATTCAGTTGAAATCTCCACCCGCGAAGACCTTCACCCCAACCGGTAGCTCAATTTCATGCAACTTCATAAAGTACTGTTCCCGTTGTTGTAGAGCAATCGGGGTGTAGCAATTGAAATGATCTCGTCCTCCCCTTCTAAACAACCTTTGATCGCCATAAATCGATTCGCCCACTGTTCGTGAAAAACATGTGTTGGAATCGTGAATTTACTTCGAGGATGTATTAACACAGCCACCCCGCTGTCCTGCCGTCATTTGAGGGCCTAAACGACAAGACATCGCAAGTCGGACCTGTTCTGAAACCCCATTGTCTAGCATGTAGCTATCTTACCAAAGCAACTTCAGCTTCCTGAATATGGGTATCTTGTAAAAGTACTACGTCAAAAACTCCATTCTTGGAGCATCTTTTAAAAGAAGCAATCCAGTCATCTCCGTCTTGGTCGGTCGATCACAACCCGCACACATTCTGAGTTAAAAACTCCGCTGTCACATCACCTGGATTTAATCCGCCAAATACATGGTTGCCATGTCTGTTTCCAGTTAACGTGCACATTAACACGCATTGTTAACGACGTAAACTCCGTCGTTGTCGACGAAAATCTTGCCGTAATTGTCCTTCCCGTTGCTGGCCTGACAAAGGCAAGTAAACAGCCTCCATAGCCGGTGCCGAAACCCACTTGACGGATTGGCAGCTGAACTGCATTTATTTGCAAAGAACAGGTGGCTTCGCCGCCAGCTCTCCTTGTGTTGTAGTCGGTAACGTTGCCGCCCGCGCTGTGGACAAATTTAAGTGCTTGACTGCACTCCCATCATGTCTGGAGTTTACGTCTATGCACAGTTTTCTGACTTCAGGGTACGTTGTATATCTGATAGCCCGAGCGTCGCCTGCTCTTGCCATTACTGTATTTGCTCAGTTCTTAAGTACGTATGGCAAAACTTCGGTGATATACCAATGTGTTGACGGGACGTTAGCTGCGCATCTGTGCACTAATCACGCGTCAACCAGTTTGCTTAACGGGCTCGATTTTAGCACCGCTAATGCGATATCAACAGCATCTTTAGTGGAATATCTTCTATAGCATTGACCCACGAATTTCACAAATCTCGTGCGGCATCAATTGTTCGTCATCGCCACTGATCCGCATCAACACCAATTTGATGTGATTGCATACTTCTTGCTCACCTCACATCAAAAGCTGTTCAATTATCAGCTGTTGTGCTGCTAATTCAGGGAATGGCAAGTGGGCAACTAAGTGGCGCATTGCTATGGTATTGGGTACCGGCCACGAGGTCGTGACTTCATATCGAACCGTACGTCGGGCTAATTCATATCGTGATCCATTCTTTTCTACCCATTTCTTGAAAGTTTTGATATTTATACTTTGTAGTTTTGTCGCCATTCAGCCATCAATTGCCAATAATTGATGTGGTGATTTTTCTGAAAGACTACGACAATATACCTTCATATGTGCATGTGAAAAGCTTCCTACCGGCGTCCGTTTGGGCTGAGAGTGGAGACTTTGATTGTTTACCTCATGCGCATGTGCCGCACTGGCACACCCATCTAATCCGAGTTCTACCAGAATGTACTATTGTTCCGTTGCTGCTGCTGATGCCGTGAGCGATTTGTAGTCGATTGGGGCGCCATCTATATGTGCAAAGCCTAACTTTGAGTAAACGTTCCCGCCAATAGCTGCCTTGTTGCTCATCCCATTGTGTAAATGTTTGACTAAGGCTGACTCCTGCGTACTCAGTCGTTTCTTCATTAAAATATCAGCATGATCGGGACTACGTGAGCCTCTGAACACTTTTTTCAACAACTTCCCAATCGCCTCGGCCAAAATTTCCACTCCAATCCCGGTTTCATGAATATCCCCATTCTATGTTTGAAATATGTGACTAGTGTACTGATCCATCCGGACTACTCCTTGCTCTCCTATTGTCCAGAAATAAATCGGCGCTCGGGGGTAAAGCGTGATAGCCCTCAATTTGATAGCTGCTGCTCTCACTCGAACCGCTATATGATTGGACGAACTTATGAATCTGTCAGGTGCAAAGCGTGCATACAATTTTGTTGTTGCGCCAGATGTTGTTGAAGGTGGCTTCATGTTCGGGTACATATGCGTGAGTTCCTGGAGAGGTTGAACCAACTTGAGTTGAATGTCGGAGCGCAACTTGGCTAATACCATATTTAGTACATTCTTTTGGATCACATTGGGCGTTGCCGTGTCCCTCTATCCAATATCACGTTCATTTGTATTGGTGCCCAAGAATGTTATCTCAACACTGGAATTTGGAAATTGTGTTTTGCTTCTACGTGCTAATCCTGATAACTTGCACTGCCTTCAACAGGGTTCATCGTCACCTCATCGGATCTCTCTTCGTTCACCGAGGGTGCAATAAGTTCAATGCCCTCTATTTCTTGGTGGGCTTCGTGATTCTAAATTTTAAGGTCTTCGCTGACCCCTTCATAATTGTCATCATCAATCTCTAAGATGGCTTATGCTTCTCGAGTTTATCTATATCGTTCCGATGCAGCTAATTGTGCAAAAGTTTTGAAATACATCGTTCGTTTTGTTGTATTGAGTTTCTTCTTTTTGGTTGAAGACGGTTGAAATTACTTCTTTGAAATGGAATCTGATGTACCCTTTACACCCGGAGCCACCAGAGTTTCTGCATCGCCGTCCTTGTGCGATGCTGGACCGGGAGTTCCATGTTTGGTATTTTTCTTCGATCGTCGCTGTACCTGAAAACCGACAGCAGATGTTGCATTTGATCTCTTGGAAACCTCGGTTGTTGCTTGTTTTCTGGCTTCGAATAATTAGAGGGAGTTTCCACGGTAACCACACTCAATCGGATGTCTTGTATTTCTCCAGTTACAATTTCACAGTCCCAACATCTCAATAGTTCAAGTGGATTGTTAAGGAAATCAGTACCCACGTATTCATTGTGGACGAACTGATAGCGTCAGGTATGTCACCTGTGAAATGTCTCTGTCGTTTTGCCTTGGTATTTGCAAACTGTTGGGGTGAAATTTGTACCTACTGTAATGATGCTTCTGGCTAATGCACCGCATGCATGGCACTTCCGGTTCGCGCTTAAAATGATGTATGATCATATTTACTTCTTGTACGATGATACATCTCTCCCCATAAAGAACCGAAGGACAATCCATAGTCGAAAATATTACCGTCCAGTAGTCGTTATCAGCTTCATTTAATCTATCTAGGCCACGTCGACGAATATCGATAACGTAATTACGTGTGATAGCATTAAACACTTCCATAAGTGTGACAGGATCCTGTTATGCCTCCCCCCTCACGTTAATTCCATAATACTGGGCACCCTGTGGCGACGGTTTGATACCTATTAGAGTTGCATTTGATCTCGTCAACACGAATGCCACACTTCAGAAGTTTAGACCTACCCTTTCCACGGTTTTGCTGTGTGTTTTGAAGGGAACACGAAGGACATTGTATGAAGTCCATCAAACGAGATAATCAGTGCATCTGTCATCATCCTCTTCATCATGTAATTTCCTTGGACAGTACCTCCGTTGGCCGTGTGTATTTCACGAAGTATCGACTTTTTCTTGAGGTATTTACCTACCGGCAGGTTGGACCCGACAGTGGTAATAAGGGTGACCTCGATATGTTGCCGGCGGTAGGCTAGCATACCCGCCCACTTCGGTGTCGTCGTCATACACGTTAAGAAGGTGGGTGGAGCAGGCAAGTCTAAATCACCCTTCATGTATACTGTGAATTCGTGGTTTTCGTCGGTCGTCATCGCACGAAGATGTGCATTTTCGTGTAGAGGATAGACGGCAGTCGCGATAGCAAAAGTGTTTTTTTAAGTTCCC